TTGCATCCAAATGTACCTTTTTGCTGTAGTTGTTAAGGGACTTGCATGGTCATTAAGTTAATCTGGCTTCCCTCATTGACTTTGCTTCTTGGAAGCCTCCTGGCAAGGTCCCAAATGGTGATCGCATGACCCTGGAACACTGCAACTGTTTTAATATGTGCCAGTTGCCAAGCAACCAAATTTTAATCCTGACTGTGGGAACGATGAGACCGTTGTATGTGTGAGGATTGATTATAAGTCACTTTTTTCAGCACTGTTGTAACTTGGAAGAGTTGTTAAACAAATGGTCATATGCTGAGGATTACTTGTAGAGATCTTTACTAATTACTTCTAGTAACTTGTTGCTGAAAGAATTTCCATGAACAATCTTAATAGAAAATACTGTTAAAACAAAGTAGATTCTTAATTAGAATAATGTATAGCTAACGTGGAAAAAATACTTGGTCTAGTTTGGACTAAAATGCATTATAAAAATATTGTTTTAACACAATTTAAATTAACTTTCAGACATTACTCAAAGCCCTCTTACTTAGAATGAGGCGAACACTAGATGATGATGTGTTCATGCCACTTTATCCCAAAAGGTAAACTGTCTAGTTTGTTTATTCTATTTCAGAAACATTTACCTTTGTAACAATGTAACATGTTGACAACTATTCTATGCTTATTGAAACATCTTTTGTATTTCAGTGTTTTAGAGAACAAGAACTCTGGTCCTTACTTGTTTTTTCAGCGCCAGTTTTGGTCTTCAGTTAAGGTAAATTAACAAAGAAATAAAACTAGTCCAACTGATTTTTTCTCAAATGGATGAGTTGATTTCCTTGGTTTTGGAGTGAAGTGGATTGGAGCCCCATTACCCTTGAGATGTTGTATGACTATGAAATTTAGCTAATCTGTAGTGTGAATTGTACCAAAAGGGTGTGATTCTGTAAAGCTATGCATATGACCAAAGCTTCCTGAATTGCATTTTCCCATCACATGGTGAAAAGAGCATTGAATCAATGTTATATAGAGTTTGAAAATATTGCATAGCCAAAGAAGATGGATTTGGAAATGACATTCTATACCTGAAACTTGAAAAACTAAATATAAAAGTATTCACATTCAAAATATGCCAAATATAACCAAAAATAATACTGAGTCACTTTTACAAAGTAGAAGATATTTGTAACTACTCGTACATAATGAATTTCCTGGAACACAGCAGCTCCTTATTTATCAATTTATACAATTTTTTTAACCTTTTAATTCTGGAAATCAGTTAATCGTATTTCTTAATAGGAATAAATTACTGATTTAACCAGCCTATATAATTTTATGACTGACCAAATTTATTAACTCTGTTTTGCTAGCAGATATTGATAATATTTCATGTTTTATAGGTGATCATTTCACAGAAATGGGTTGTTGCTGGAAGATTTTTTTTTTTAATGGGACATAGTCAGTTGAATTGTACCACATTGCTCTCCTTTTAGACAGTAAGCAGCTCTGAGAACATTCTGATTTTGGTTGTTTGCTTTCATACGTTCTACAAGAAATATTTCATTTAAAATGTTTGTATTAGTTACAAATATTGATACGGCTCTATTGCTTTGCTATTTATGTTAAATTTTTCTATTTCGATAGCTATTGGGAAACTTTCTGCAGTGGTATGGAATATTCTCCAACAAAACATTACAAGAATTATCAATAGATGGTTTGCTAAATAGATACATTCTTATGGCTTTCCAGAATTCTGAGTATGGAGATGATAGCATTAAGAAAGCTCAAAATGTAAGTAAATATGTTTTAAATTTCACTTCATTTTTTAAAATTCCTTTTTGAGTCTGTTGCCCATATATTCAGAGGCAGTGTATTTTAATAGCTACAGTAGCAGGGATCTGAATATGTTCAAATATACATGTAACCATGACATTCATCTTCATCAATTAGCCCAGGCCTTGATGTTCAGATTAAAATACAACAGTGAGCCCAGTACATCCTATTTTCTATCACTGGAAAAGAGACAAAACAAAACAAAAAAGGAGTAAACTTCTATTTTACAACAACAACATTGCTTGAATTTCCATTTCTATTCTAGCACTACTATTAATGGGCAGTGTAGTGGCTCAGTGATTAAGATGCTGGACTTGATGGAAAGCCGGCAGCCAAGGTTTGAAACTTGAGTGTCATGTGACGGGGTGAGCTCCTGTTACTTTTCCCAGCTTCTGCCAACAGGAAGTGATACCTATTTATCTATTGGCATTTGCATGCTTTCAAAATGCTAAAAAGTTTGAAAGCATAAAAATGCTAGTAGATAAATAGGTACCACTTTGGTGGGAAGGTAATGGCACTCTGTGACACCATACTGGTCACATGATAGCAGAATCGTTTTTGGACAGAGCAGACTCAAAGGCCTTGAAAAGGAGATGAGCATCGCCTTCTATAGTCAGCAATGACTAACATAATAAAATCCGAGGGACTCCTTTTCCCTTTTTTTACTACTGTTAATAGTACAAAAATTAAAATTAACATATTATGACTTCACATTCATACTCTGCTGTTTATCCAAGTTTAGTTACCAAATGACTTACAATAAGGTCTAGTACACTAGCAATAAATAGAAATATCTGAGATGTCTGACCTCTGACAGTTGATAATCTAGTCTGTATTTCCCTGCTAAGTTTATGGAATTGTTAACACATGCATATAACAGAGACCAACTTTTGCTAAATGCTGAGCTATGGATGGACAACCTTCTGAGCAGTAGTTTGTTCTCTAAAACAGCTGGAAAATCAGATGTGATACCGGTCTCTCTCTCTCTCTCTCTCTCTCTCTCTCTCTCTCTCTCTCTCTCTCTCTCTCTCTCTCTCTCTCTCTCCCTCTCTCTCTCTCTCTCACACACACACACACACACACACACACACACATTTTTGCAAGCAGTTATTCTTCTCCAATCCTCTTATGTAATGTTTTATTATACTGCTAATTACATGGAAATCAGCGTACAATTAGTGTTTTCTTCCTGTTCCCTATATATCAAAGATTTACCGTATATACTCGAGTATAAGTCGACCCGTATATAAGCCGAGGCACCTAATTTTACACAAAAAAAACCTGGGAAAACTTATTGACTCGAGTATAAGCCGAGGGTGGGAAATGCAGCAGCTACTGGTAAATTTCAAAAATAAAAATAATTAATTTGGGAAACGATCTCACTATCTCACGTCGCCTCGGGAAGGGAAAGGCAAAGCGCTTTTTGCCTTTCCCTTCCCGGCTGGGGCTGTTGGGAGTCGCCGCCGCCTGCCTTTCCCTTCCCGGCTGGGGCTGTTGGGAGTC